GAGCGAGATCAGAGATGTGCCTAAAAATGGATATAGAATTATTATAAAGCAAGGAAATGGTTTTAAAAAAATGGCTGAAAAATTGTTTAGACGTGCCATATTTTGTGGTTTACAAAACACAGATCCATCAGCTGTACCAAATTTTGAGGGTAATTATCAGAACTTTATTAAATTAGATAGAATATGTAAACAATCACAAAGAAATTCCCATGTTTTCAAAAATCACTTGCTCAAAAATTCATCATTTGAAAAATTATCAACAAAATATGATATTTTATATTTCTTTTATTATTTTTTTTCATAGAGAGGAAGGGAAGAATATATTTTAGAAGTAATTTGAGGAAAACAACCCCAAATAGGTAAATATTGATATTAGTGGATAGAGATTTTACAAGTACAAAAATGCACTCATTTTAGTTGATACAGGATGTAAAACTGACTTGCTTCAAATATTCTTTTCGCTAGACAATGCTGTCATTTTAAAAATAAATGAATAAAGTCAGTGAGCCAATGTATTCAATAGATTATTTGGGTGTTTTTACAAATAAAGGAATGTAGTAGTTGTAGAATAAACAGGACTACTAGAAGTAGCCCTAAACCAAACTTTAATGAGTTAGAATCTGAATGAAACAGGTTAGTAATGACTATAGAAACTTAGTAGGTGTGTTTACCAAATGGAAAAAAAAAAAAAAAGAAGTTATTTTCTCAGTCTTGATAAGTATAAAGAAAGCATTGTGCTGCATGGCTAGCCAGTTTATTTTCATGTCTTCTAGATTATAAAGGTAGCAGAGATAGAAGTTGTTATTAGAGAGAAAAAAAAGAAAGCATAATGGGAGACAGAGACAGATCTACAATGCTCATTGGTTCAGTTTAGAAGATTTCCTTAATAAAAACCAAATTAAAAGCATGATGGCTACTGTAGCAAATGCACTACATCCCGATTACTAAAAAAATATACACCAATTGCAAATATAAACAAAATCAAATCATTTTTTTACCCTGCTTCACAAAGCAATGCCAACAAAAATGGAAAAACTGACCCCCACTCCTATCAAGATCAAAAATTCTCTCCAGATGGTTTAGATGACAGGACATATGACAAGAGAAAAAACTGTTTCAATCCAATCACTTCCATTGAATGCATCTGTATGCACAGGCTCACATATTCTTCAAATCAATAACAAATACCTTATTTGCAAGTCCTTAAGATGCATTTAAAATGTATCCAAATATTACTGTCCAATGCACTAGTAGTACAAATAGGAGGCTGATCACTGAAGGTGCAAGATTTACAACTAGGTTTTTAGAGATGTAGTGAGCATTAGTACACCAAGCAGAAAAAATCAATGTTTTACAACTAATATTTATATTACAGTAACAAAGCATACTAAAGCAAAATGATATGACTTTAGGCATAATCATAGACAATTTAAAATAATGTCTATCCCCATGAAGTCAGATTAGACCAAAAATGGAATATTGCTGCCATGTCTGGGCTGGAGCTGCCCAAGCCTCACTTTCCAGCCTTGATAGAATTCAAAATCGTTTATGCGGTCTTGTAGGGGATGACATTTTCCACTCTACAGCCTCTTTCTCACAAACACAATGTTGCAAGTCTATTGCTACTCTATCACTACTTGCATGGCAAATGTTCACATGAGCTCCACTCTTTAGCTCCACTAGTTCAGACCTTTGCAACTCATACTCACCTCGCTATGTCCAGAGTTGTATCACCCACATTTCTCCTGTATTTCATTTGTAAAGAGGAAGTTCCACTCAGACAGTTTTTGCCCAAGAACTGCTACTTTGTGGATGTGGATGCTTTCATGAACACTACAATCATACCCCCTTCCAGTCAAGAATAAATTGCTATCATCCTTATTTTCACTTCCTCTTACATTCATAACACATATCTCATTCAGTAACCCTCTTCCTTGAGTGGCTCTTGAGTCTTGTATTGGGTAAACTTTAGTATTAAAAATAAAGTATAATCTACAACAGATTACAATATACTTATCATTAATGGTTAACATCTATGCTCTTTGAAGATAAAACCATATCTTGAAAGGCCAAAGAGAATTTTTTAAAATTTTAACAGCATGTAGTGTAGATATTTACTAAGCTTAGCTTAAATGGAGCACCCAGTGAAGGCTAAACTCACTAATAATGACTTGCAGAATTAGCTTGCTAACCACTGCATGACTATATATGCACTGACATATACCATATGCACATGTAGAAAATATAGTTCCTATAAAAGAAAATTCTCTTAAAAGTATTTTTCAAATTAAATATTTAAAAAAAATAACTTTATTTCTAAAAAAGTACCCTTACTAAACAAGGGGACATCTAATAACATGTGTGTGTATCCTATAGGCTGGCAAATAATAATCTGGTTTTCTTGTTTTTGTTTTACCGGTCCAGTTGTGATGAGGGTCTGCAAACCTCTACTGTAGTGCATGGGACAGAGTAGTGAACAAGTGAGTGAATAAAATACTATTATACTGTACAACAGTTGTCACGTTACAATATATAAACACACACACATGCACGCACTCATGTATACAAAGGCAACAAGTCTCAGTGGGTGAGAAATTATATCCATATAATTAGGGTGTCTTGGTAAATTTTAATTTTTTTTTTTTTAAACTTTAAGAATGGTGATATAAACTACCACTATCCTCATTAATTTTATTATAATTTTTAATTGATAATCCAAGAGGAAAGGTCATACCCACAAATAGTTGGATGTTTTCTGGACTTAATAATTAGAATTTTTTGGCCAAGATTCTGAGAAAACCAAGGCTTGCGATTTATGACAGAGCTCACTAGTTTAATGAAAGCTAAAATATTTGGAGAGGAAGGACAAGGAAAAATTCAAGAAAATAAATGTCATTATCTTTTGGATTAGATAATAGGAATAATTTCTTTTTATTGGGGAAATACAAGCAAATGGAATCATTAAAATTTTTGAATTTGTTAGTCCTAATGATAAATGAAAATAATCTGGCTTTTTCCTATAGAGGGAAATCAAAATAAAGTATGAAGACTATAACCAAAACAGCCAGAAGGCTCATGGAATAGGTAAATGTAGTTTTTATTAAAAAAAAAAAAAAAACAAATGTATAGAAGCATGGTTGGTGGAATCAACCAGAAATAATTTGTTTTTCAAATTACTATAAATTAAACATTCCATATAAAAAAAATTTCATTATTAAATTTTATAAAAGTTAACAAGGGGGTTCAGTTTGCTGTGTAAAAAAAAACATTTTAAAACTGATCCCACTCCTCTCAGGAAAGACAAAACAAATATGCTCATATGATATTATTACTTGCAATTTAAAAAAATATATTTTTTTAAATTCGTAATCATAGTGTTATATGGAAAAAAAAAAAGAACTCTATATCACGAATTTCAGCTTTTATCTTTTTAATTTTTATTTTTAAGATATCATGTATTGTAGTGATGAGCATATTGTGTTTTGATATTTAGGGGGGGGGCAATTACATAGCAAACAGGATCCAGTTATTAACTTTTACAAAATTTAATTAAAGTTTTTTTTTTATATTCATGATCTGGAATGCATAATCTATTAAAAAATGATCTTTTCTGGTTGTAATGCCTTTTTGTACAATGTGTACAAGGTCTTTTTGAATTTTAAAACAAAACAATAACCGATAAAGTAAAGGTTAATGCTTTTTTAGCATTTATGCCACTAAATGCAAGAAGAGAGGCATTCCAGTGAAAAAGAAAAATAATGAGAATAAATATTTAATAATTTTAGATATATTATTTTATTATTTAATCAGTGCAAGGCACTGGTGCTAATAAAAAAAATAGTGGTATACACACTTAGTCTATTGTAGCTACATAGCATTGTCTAATTTACTCTAGGATTTGATCGACTTAAAAAAAAAATTAACAGGCACAACTGCTCGAGTGATTTTTTTTTTTAAACATTTGACGATTTAGTGACATTGATGTAATTTAGAAAATATTGATTTGAGGAAAATAAAAACTTTTATTCTTTTGTTTTATGAATGTGTTACTGTTAGCAACAAAAAAAAATGCTGTTAGTTTTTTTTATGCATAAAAACAAAACTGCGCCTTAGCCTTATTAAATAAATTAAATAAAAATGTGTTGTTCATTCAAGTAAGAAGTGTGATGAAAATAATTTTTAGACAAATTTAAGGCTGGCGAAAAAAAAAAAAAAAAAAAAAAATTCAACATATTTTTAAAAGATCTTACAAGGTCAACTTATGCCTTATGTTTGAAAAAAAAAAAAAAAGACGACATAACCGTTCGTTTATTTTTTTTTTTTTGAGAAATGAACTTTAATTTTATTTATTTTTCTATTCCAACCGTCCATATATGCAAGTATGCCCGAAAAACATTTACTGCCACGTTACATAATGATCGGTGTATTATAAAGAAGTTTTTGTTACTTAAAATCGTGTGTTGTGCCAAAAAAGAATTTAATCAATATTAAGAAAAAATCTTAAATTCACAAATTATGGATCATTATCCATCGGATCGCATAACCTACGTGTTAGTTAGGTGTTTTTAATGTACGCGTTGTAGAGAATTAATGTATTTTTATTTATTTCCTATGGCATGTTGATCTGATTAATAAATATTTATTTAATTTATTTAATAAATAATTATTTTTTTTAAATAATTATATAACCGAAAGGAAAGCTAACTAGACAAAAAAGAAATGAAGGTGAGTTTACTAAATAAATATTGTCACTAGCTAGATTATTTTAGAAACATCTTTTTTTTTAGTTAGTTTTTGATGTCAGATGTGGGTAAAAACAAAACAAAACAAAAAGAAGTGTAAGTTTTAAAAATGTGAACGATGCATTTTTTTACATATATTTGTACGTAAATTAAATTTACACAGGTTTAAAAGTGGAAGGAAGAAGCAATAGTAATTGTTGTTGACAAACAGGCAACAACTAATAATAATAATATAATATCAAGTCGAGGAAGAAAAATTTAGAAGAGATAGAAATGATGTAGGCGGCCTGTAATCCTTTTCCATTCGTATTTAACATTGACGTATTGCATGCAACCACGAATGAAAAGCAGGAAGCCACACAGCATAAGAATCCACCAAAACCAGGACTCGCCAGCAGCCAAATCGCCAGCAAATCCGCTGTGTTTGACAATAGCAACCCACTTGACCATGGAAAGGCCTAATCCAGCCAAAGCACCACATCGACCCGCGACTGTATTGGTAATACACAGGGACATAAGAAAACCGAGCCAATTAAAAAGAAACGACATAACGAAGGTGCAGAAAAAGATCCAGTCAGTACCGACAGGCATCCCTGATCCATTGAGTCGATCCGTGCTTGAAGACATTTGGTCAGGGCCTTCATCCATGTGAATGTGATCTTCATCGGGCAGGGACCTCAAATGGTGATGGTGGTGATGATGGTGTAAAGATGGGTGAGCACGACAACCACCTCCACTCCCTAGCGGACCATCGTGGTCACCATCTTCTTCTTCTTCACGCTTGAGTCGTTCAGCTTCCTCGTAGGACGGCAGGTCAGTTGCCACTGCGTATGATGGGGGTAGACCAGCAGAGCAATGATCACCAAGAGACATCTGACTCGCTTTAAGACCTGTGGGTCCTTGTTGTTGTTGAAGGTATTCAGTTTGCGGTTGGGCTTCTCTGCTAACTTCCTCATAGGCAGGTGGTAGGATTGAGTCATCAGGGAGGACAGGATCTGAACGACCGACCACAGGTGAAGGTGGAGCGTCAGTTGTTTGAAGGAAAGATGAAAGAGGACGTGCAAGGTCTGCTCCATGGCGGCTACAGTTGGTTGCAGATGATGGAATTGCTTCAGCATTTTCATCGTCGTATCTTTCCTCTTGTAACACCTGGTACCTTATATTTCGGTCCATGGTGTTGTTGTCAACTGACGCACGATTTTACTGATAGTTTACAGTTGTAATGTTCTTCTCGATTTTTCTCAAGAAAAAGACTTTCCAATTAATGAATAATATACACAACAATATTGACAACAATATGGTGTCCAACAAGAAGAGAAAATAGCCTCGATTTTAAATTATTTACGTCTTTTAGTTTCGTAACATTTTGAGTTAAACTATTCAAGCCATTTTTATGAATGAGTAATGCTTATTTCATTTGTCAAATTGAGTCTGCATTTTAAATGCTTTATAAGTATTATTATATGCAAACTACTTCACCCACCTATTCTTTATACGAAACTATGCACTAGAATAAGAGAACTCCAACAAGTTGGATTACAAAGTGTGGATTTAAATTGATAACAACGAAAGATTGAAAAGCTTAATAAGTAGTTATTTTGTAAACAAAGTATTATTAACAATAAATAGACTTACTTTATTCTTACTATTTATGGATATTTAAAAATGGCTCAATATTGAAAATAATACAATGAAGGAACACAGAGTATCAGTAGTACAAGTTAAATAACGTTTTTTAAATTATTTTGACAATTCAACAGAAATTTTAGAAAGCCTAAAAAACAAAAGTTGAAAAGTATTCTACGAAAATAATGTATTGTATTATCTTAATTTATTTTATGATTATTTTGGTGTGGGCAAAATCATCATAGTCTTAAATAAATGGCAATAAATAAATCAGAATCTCAGTAGCAATGATTGCTAAATTAAATATTGAGATTAAAAGTTCTTACGTTAAAGAACATTAAATTTCATTAATTAACAAAAGCCAACGGATACTGAATTTTAGCGTTTTTTTCTAACAAGTCTCTAAAAAAATGTAAAATAAATTCCTGGGAGCTTCATGAATCTGACTTTGTGCCAAGGTTGACTTAGTCTACTAAAAAATAAATGCTGTGGAAAAAGGTTTGAACAAAGTAGTAGTAACTATAAATAATTTTTTTTTTTTTTGCTATCCTCTGCCAGCCGCAATGAAGGAGAAAAAGCATTACCTCGCATCATCGCCAATGAGACACACAAAAAAGAAACTTAATTTTTTTTTTTTCCTTTTGTGTTAATCACAAGACAATAATTGTTCGTTTAAAAGAAGAATGCTAATTGCTGTTACCGTACTGTACACAATAATTCTCTTTGGGCCTTTAGTTTAAAATAATTTTCTTTCATTCCCTCAAACAAAAGTGAGTGAAACCTAGATTTTTTTATGCTATTTTGTTAATTTTGAAATTACCATACTCGTGTAAATTGACTTCATGTATAGTGCGATCCCGGCATGAATTTTAAATTTAACTCCCACAAAAATTTACTTATAAGGCGAAAATGCATGATTTTTTTAGCCTCTCCAAAAAAATTACCAGTGTGACTGTGACCCCCACCCCGCCAGTTTTTTGCGTAAAAACTGATCATAGAAATTAGAGCACTATGCTTGCAGATCGAGTATTATAACTATAACACTAACTGTAACACGGTACAATTTTTTTTCTGATAAAGAAAGTAAATTTAAGAATTCAAATTCAGTCTTGTTGCCCCCTTAAAAAAAAAGACTTCAACGGATCTGCGTATTTTTCCAACTTCATTCGATTTTTATCAGATCATCAGTGAAGTTATATATTGAGATCAAGTACTGTATTTATAAACTTGAATTTGAAAAATAAATAACAGTATAATAAAATTTATATCTGCATATATTTTTTCTGTGTGTAGAACACTTTTCTATCACCAGAAGAACCCAATATGACTACATAGATATTGGTAATTTGCCTATTTCCATGTACAAAGAAAATCTAGCACTTTTCTATCACTAGAAAAGTTAACTTCATAGATATCATCAATTTGCTTATCTCTATATAGTGGACTCTTGTGGTAATGTACGAAAAGAATGATTGATTTGTTTTTATGGTTTATCAACCCTTTGTGGGTTAAAGCTGAGACATATTGTGGATCGTAAGAATAATTTTTTTGTGAGAGAATATTGAATTAATAGGAGACTGAATAGTGGCTTGGATTGAGGAATCGGAGAGCTGATTTCAAATTCCAGTCGAATCCATTACATTCACTTACGTGCTAATACCTTTGGGAAAGGTATGAATCTTCTTCTTCTCTCCCAGCTATAGGTAAATAGCAGGTTCTATAGCCTTGGATGGCAACTGGTCTACAACAGAAAGAAATGGCAACCTACTGCAGGAAAAAATCTGCCTCGTCAGTCATGTATCAAAAGATACATGATCGCCTACGTGTGTATCATGCATAGCACATAACTGACTGCTTGAATTTACAATTTTTTTGAGAATAACAATGATTTTTTTAGACTCAGGTGCTACTATTTAACCCGTAGCTGTGGGAAGAAGATGGATTCATACTTTTCCAAAGGGTATTTGCGCTTAAGTTAATATAATCGTTATCTTCTTTCATCTTCATTCTTGTTCTTTTATTGTTCTCTCTCCTTAATAGTGTTTTTTTTTTCTCTAACACTAACACTTAGTAACCCTTTGCAGATTAGTATCTACATTGCCTTGCTTGGGGTGAAATAATTAGAAAAAAAAAAGAACCCAACTAGAATTTGAATTTGGCTCTCCAGTTATACCACTCACATGCCCTTAAACTTAATTAAAACCAATTATCAATAAATATTGCACAAAAATCTGTAAACAACAGACAATATTATTTTGGTAAAGCACATATTCTGGATTCATCTAATGTTTAGGCATTAAATTAAAAGACATAACCTTTACTATTTTTACAAAAACCCGTGTCTGTCAATATTTACTAGGCTTAGCTTAAATGTGAGGTATCCAATACAGATCACACTACATACAGTAAAAAGAGTGCTGTGGCTGATTATTACAGTATTCCTTGCTTATCTGGGCACCATGAGACAGAGGTTGGAAAATATGTTTAGTTTAGATAATTCAAAATTCATGAGAATTGAATACCTACTAAATTATCAAAAAAGAATAAAGAAAGGCCATTTTCTGCAAGAAATTTAATATTTATATTATCAAATAACATTTACAAATGCTTTGTTCAAGTTTTTCGTGTGTGTTTTGGAGGAAAAAATGCATCATTGTTTGTGTTTTTCTGTCGCTAACTCCCAAAGCTGAAATGTCGATATATTTATAAGGGTAGTTATATATTGTAGAGTTAGATTTCTACATTCTCTGTTTTAAACCTATTAAAAGAGGGTCACAGCTAAGTATTCTCAGTTTAGGCTGAACCCATTAAAATTGGCTCCAGAGTTCAGTACGAAACAATGCTTTCTGATTGGTCCATAAATAATAATGTCATGTTTCTGCCTACGTCCGTACGGTTGACCTTGAGTTGACTTGTTTAGAGTTCGACACGCCAAAAATTGCTAAACATTTTCTCGAACCTCCCAAGTGATCAAGAAAATTCATAAATATGGAACTTCGACACGACTTAGTGAGTGAATCCTTAAAATAATCAACTCGTCACACGAATCCATGAAACCCAACTTCTTCGTTAAAAGTTAATTTTTATTAACATCAATCCGGCTTGTGGAATTCAATTTCTTTTCAACATCAACTCATCTAGTGACCAATTCAACCAAGACAAGATTCAGAAATCAACTCACACAATATGTTAGCAGCATCGTTAACAACATCATAACTATAACAGTCGAAGCGAGACAACTACAGTAAGTCAAGCAATCTATTTCATTCAATTTCACCATCAACATAAACTGTTTAATTCCTTAGCAGATGTATTGCATAACACCTTTTATATTACCCTTGATCACACAACCAAGAACTCAGTAATAATATATAGTCCTTATATATACACACATATATAGTCCTTATATATACATATATGTATATATAGTCCTTATATATAGTAAATATTCGACGAGTTTATGCTTGAGTCATAATGTAAACACAGGCCGGGTTTTCACTTGGATCAAAAGTGAACATGGGTTCAGTTTATACTCGTCAAAAGGTCAACGTTGGTTGAATTTATACTTGAGTCAAAAGGTAAATATTGGTTTACTCAAGTATAATCAAGACCAATGTTTACCTTTTGACTCAGGTATAAACCCGACCAACGTTGACCTTTTGTCTATACTCAAGTGTAAAAGGGACCAATGATCGTGTTTATACTTGAGTCAAAAGGTAAAAATTAGTTGCGTTTATACTTCAGTCAAAAGGTACATATTGGTCCGGTTGACACTTGAGTCTGTAGGCATCCACCTAAAAGATGATTCCTTTTGTAGAGGGTCATACAAGGAATACTATCGGTGTATTTCAATCCCGGCTGATGGGATACATATTGTTTGGATTCACCTAGTTACATACATTAATTAAATAGGTAAATTGAATAAAAAGAATTATAATAAACTGAAAGAATCAACGATAAAAAAAAACTCACAATGCAACGATTAGTTTATAATTCTAATAATACTATACATCTATATAATGAATGCGAATATCAGTGTGTCACACTTTTTTCAGCTTTACCCATGGAGGCCGTAGCCCAACATATCATACGATTTTGGAATCAGGTCGACTCCGTGAGCAAATTAAAAACATTCCAGGCCAGATCCAGACCCGCAATCCTGACATTTTAGATTCCCAAGTTTTCATTACAGCGATTTTTTCGGATTCCGCCATCTTGGCTTCTACTGATAAAACAATTAAAGGAACACAACACTCTAATTTTCAATAGCTCATGTTCAAATGAATAAAATACTGTTCTCAAATTACAGTGTTTCAAAATAAAATTGTCCGTGTTTTCAACTTTACTTCTAGAGCCCAACATATAACATTTTGGAATCAGGTCGACTCCGTGAGCAAATTAAAAACATTCCAGGCCAGATCCAGACCCGCAATCCTGACATTTTGGATTCCCTAGTTTTCATTAAACGATTGATTTAGGCGATTTTTTTACTTGATTTTTTTTGCAACAATTTTTTTTTGTACGATAACAATTTTTATAACTTGAAA